GCCTGTGGCAGGGTGCCCTCGCCCACCAGCTGCCCGGCATGGCCCCTTGGAGAGGTGAAGGTCTCAAAACACTTGTGTATGAAACGATCAGTCTGTGTGCAGCAGGGAAGAGGGGCGAGCGGCACGCTTTGGCCCACGGGAGGAAGGCCCGCTGCCTTCCCTTGGCTTGCTTTCCAAGGCGCCTGCCTGCTTTTGGTTACCCGATCCTGTTTTCTTCAGTTAAATTCCTTGGTTTCGGCTTTTCTCCAGGTCAGCCAGCGAGTCCACAATCTCTGCAAAACACAAGAATGGCGTTAATCAAAACAATATTTGTTGTAGGCTTTTTTTTTTTTTTCCTCTGATGAGAAGATATCTTTCCTTCACTGATAACAATCGGGACATGGAGTCATTTTCCTCAGGCCAGCTCGACTGGGCAGCCATTAGCAGGGGACAGGCCTGAGCAGACTCAAGTGAGTACAGCCCAAAGAGATGCTTGGAAACAGACACGAGATGTCCTTCCAGCTCAGCACCATGCAGGCACGGCTGGGCGTCAGATTAGAGTAATAAAGACATGCTGTATCCTCAGTGCGGCTTTGACAACATCTCTGATGATTTTGGTGTTTCCACTTCATTCAGGGTGATTTCCTGCAGCTGAGAGCTGCTGTTGGGAGACGGAGGCACAGAGACTGTGGCACACGATGGTTTCTTGTGCACATTTTCCACATCTCTTGTATAGAAACTGGCCCCATAGGGCAGAGCAGATGAGGTTGAAGGAAGCTTTCTCCCCTTGGAGAGGTGAACTGAGAAAAGGGCATGACCTCTGTGCCTTCAACCACACCAGAAAGGTTTCTCTGTCTTTTCCTACTGTTTCTGTTAAATCTTCCTGTGGAGACCAATTATGTATCTGATGAGACCCAGACCAACTCCAGACACTGAATTCTTCCCCACTGTGGAGCAATTCTCAAGATTGCAATTTGTTGCTCAAAGCCCAAGGAAGGAAATGCTCCTGCACCGTGTTGTGGCTGCTCCTCCAGCTTATGGGATCTGCAGGACCTGAGTGGGGATTAACCAACACACCCCTGGTCCCAGTTCAGTGCTTGTTTGAGAGAAAAACCTTATTCTTATGTGATGACAAATAAACATCCTGGTGATTATTGTCATGGCACAGGTAAACGTTAACTGTATGAGCCATCACACTACAGGAGAGAGGTCTAGTATTAGGGGACTCATTAGCGTAAGAAGGTAGGTCAAGAAGGGGTTTTGAAACACAAAGCCAGACAAATTCATACAGAAAACAAATGACAAATTGAGTGCTGAAGCAGATGAGTGAGGGATACAGAAGGCCTGTGGAGCAGGTGTCCAGGACACTTACCCTCGGCAGAAGGGCGTTGGGAAGGGTCAAAGGCCCGGCACTGGTCAATGACTTTCCGCAGGTCTTCAGGGCAATCTTCCCCAACAGTAGCACGGTAATTGTGGTTGCAGATTTTCTCCATGATCTCCTGGGGTGTGCAGCCTAGACAATACGCGTGCAAATAGGAGTGTCAGGACGGAGCTCTGCTGCCACAGGAGGGTGCTGGGGAGGAAACCCAGTGCAAAGCCACGCCAAGAGCCTTCCTGCAACCTATGGCATGGAGAAACCTGCAGGGAAGCCACCCAAACTGCATCTGCAATGAACCCCCCGTATTTGGCATGACGCCGTTGTGCTCCAGTGGAGCAAGGAGATGTGTTTATGCTTCAATGCACGGGAACATCAAATAGAGACAAAAATTACTTGCGTGTTTGTGGTTTAAGCATGTTGCTGAAATGCTTTACTGTATTGGAGTCCCAGGAGAAGCTATGAAGCTGTCGTGTAGAGCCAGGCACACCAGGCACTGCCACTGGGACTCACACGCCATGGGATGCTTCGTGAAGGAGCAGGGAGCATCCCACACCAGACAGCAGCCGCACTGGGACATGTGGCTTTTACACAGAGGACCAGGTACTCCTCTCTCACCTTCAAATGGGATTCTAGAGGTCGCAATCTCCCACAGCACAATCCCGAAACTGGAAGGAGACAAGCAAGAGTCTCAGAATTCATCCCACCGTGTTGTCCTCCCTTCTAACAGAGGGAACTGTTGGGCTATGCCAACCACAAAGGGCTGCTTGCGTCTCCGATTAAACCTGGCTTTCTTCCATGGCTCAACAGCTACTCTGCCAGACATCTGCCTGCTTACAGGCATCTCTCCTGGGAAGAACAGACGCACCTGTAGATTTCACAGGGCCTCTTGTAGGGGTAGTTGATGTCTTTCAGGTTCTCAGGGGCAATGTAAGCCAACATAGAGACTTGTTTCCAGTTCTTCTTGGCTTTCCTCTTGATGGATGACTCTGTTTCGCACAGCTCGAATCCCGACAGCTGATTGAGAGAATGAGGAAGGGAGAAGTGGTAGAAACACAGTCTGCTGAAACCTGTGGCATGGCTGGGGACTGCCTCGAGATGGAGAAAACAGAGCGAGGTGCCCTGGGCAGCAAAGGCTGGCATGCAGCCACGTGTGCTGCCCGGTGCGTGGCACTTTCTGAAAGTGAAACCACATGTGAAGGCAGGTGAATAGCCCTAGCTTCAGCTCACTCCAGGGCGGATGGCTTAGAAACGTTCACGTTGATGATGGTAAAACAGAGATAATGATGAACTGAGGTGTAGGTATCTAAGGTGACAGGGGAGATGGCTCTGCCCCAGGTTTTATTCTAGACCATCATAATTCCCTTCGATGTTAGTGGGGGGAGACATCCACAAAACCATGCAAAACTCACAAAAACTTCTCCGAGCGCAGTCCTTACCTTCACACAGTAATCTCCAGCCACCAAGAACTTGCTACTGCAGATGCAGCCGTGAAGTCGGGACTTCTCCTCCGTCTGGTGCAACCTGCAGCCGGACAGAACCCAAGGGCAACATATGCTGGTGATGGACCCATCCCCAACTTGGGGCTTCCTCCTGCTGTGTGGGATATGGACTGACATCCACCCAGAGAAGCCAACAGCTCTGTGCCTGTCTTGGTGGACCAACCCTGCCAAGCCAACCTTTCCAAGAGGTGCTGGAACAGCCACTGTGGGCAGAATAACGAGCCTTGCAGATGAGCAGGTCCCATAAGGAGAACTAGCCGTGCTGTAGGGTGCTCCTGAAGCTGCCCTATGGGTGCGGGGAAGGGGGCTTCTCCCTTCCAGACCTTTGAAGCCAGATGTAGGGGCCAGTGACCAGTGGAGATGGGCGCTACTGCATCCAAATCCACTGCCTACCTCTTCACCAGCCTGCCATCCAATTGTCCCAAGGTGGTGGAAATTGTGTCTAACAGGATACTGCTGCTTACTGAGACCTACTGGGAAGCTGAGCACGGCTTGTGGACTGTCAGGTGGACTTCCTCACTGATTTATGCAGCAGCTCACCTGTAAAGGCCTCTGGCGGCTCCCAGGGCCATCCGAATGCGGACCTCCCAGGAGAGGTCCTGTTGCTTGGTCAGCACATCCCGCAGTGTCCCGTGCTTGCAGTACTCCATGACGATGGAGAAGCAGGGGCTCCCATCTGCAAGGTAAAACCGTGAGCATCCTGCCTTGTGCCACCTCTTGGGAGGGGACCATGACAAACTGTCTGCCACCAGCTGGCGCTGGGGACAGGCAGGGGAGGGAAAGGGTGACATTAATGTGACACCCCCTACCTTTCTCCTCAATGCAGATCCCATACATGCGCAGGATGTTTGGAGACTCAAACTTCTTTAGGGTCTGAATCTCCTTCTCGAAGATGTCTCTCACCTTCCTGCAGAAAGGGACAGCATGGTGAGATCCCTGGAATAAGGCATGACATGGCGCTGTGCCGTCCTCCCGTCCCGCCTGCCCTGTGTCACTCCCACCCAGGACAACTCACGCTGGGTCGGTGGTCAGTGGCCTCTTGAAGGTTTTGATGGCGACAGGGTACTTGAGGTACTCGCCCTCGTAGAGGTCATAGCTCTCGGTGTCCTGCAGGTGCCTATAGAAGGTGAGGTGGTCCCGCTGGATCTCGGTGATGTCTTCTCTTTTATCAACATTGACCTTCTTCAAGCCTGCTCCCGTCATGTGCCAGGAGGGAACGAGGGACACGTTAGGCAGGGATCAAGGGGAAAGGATAGACAGCACAGGGTGCCTAGAGGTGTGACACCAACTTACAGTCCATCACGTGCACGATTTTGTTCAGCTCCCTTTGCATCCAGTCTACCTTGCTCTCCATACATTGCCTGTCAATGTAGATCTCCCCGTCCGCGTCTTCGGGCTCCTCAGTACCTGGGGAAAGAAACATGCAGAAGTGGGGCCACTGGTTGAGCATGCAGGACTGACGGGGTTAGTTTTTCTCACAGTTTAAGTGTCCCCTTGGCTCTCCTTGGCCAGGCCCATGGCCATCAAGCAGCTGGGGACAGGTGCCAGCCACTGCTCTTGGGGAAAGAGGGTGTGCTAAATGCACGCTTACTTGCAATCACTTGGTCCAAGAAAGCCTTGTCGTCCTTCAGGTCCTCGGCATCCTGCCTGCGACATGTCTTTGCCTGGAAAGCCTCCAGGAAAGCCTGCTTCTGCTCTGCCTGCAGCAGGAGTGAGAGCCCCTGGGCGATGTCCTCCAGGCTCTCGTTCACCCAGATGAACTCCTCACCAGCACTGCGGGCTCTCAGGAACTTCTGAATCCAGCTGGTCTGGCTGTATTTCATCACCAGATTCTGGGCTTCCCCCAGCATCTGGAGCAGCTTTTTCAGCAGTTTCTCTTCGTGGTGGGAGATGTGCTCTGGTAGCTGAGCCTTGAGGATCCTCACAGGCTCCAGCAGGATCTGGATGCGTTCCACGAGGCGCTGGCACTGGTGCTTGCAGCATTTCACCTGCTCGAATTGGGCGTAGATGGTCTGGGCCACAGAGAGGACCCTGTCCACGATGTCCATGCTTGCAGCAAAGGGCTTGGCCACGGGTGATGTGGGCTGACAGCGTCTGGTGGAGGTGAGCCTCAGGTACAGCTTGGACATCAGCCAGATGTGGCTCTTCCACACCTTCCACCCTATGGAACAACCTTAGCATGTCACACCACCCTCCAGGTCTCCTATAGCCCCCTCACATCTCCTCCAGCTGCTTTGCTTTCTCTGCTTCGCCTGGCACCGCAGCCGCTTGTGCAGACTGCAGTGGGCACTCGCAAACAGAGGTGTCAGTAGCAGCAGTATTGGCACATCTGGCTCCATATCAGCTGGTTTTGGCTTGGTTTATGTAAATTAATTTAATGTCAGCCATACCCAGAGAGCTCATGTGCAGCCGAACAGGGTCAGCAATGACCCAAGGAGCATCCCCTGGGCAGTGCTCCCCAGCGCCAGCCCCGCACCACCCTGGGGTCCTGCCTGCAGACCCTCCATCTTTGACCATAAACATCCGCTTTCATTTCTAGCCAACATCTCTCTCTGTTGTCACCCAGCTAATAAAAGCTTTCATGCCTTCACAGCCCTGGCATCCCCGACTTCTCCGTATTTTCTCCCTGTAGCCCTGTATTGCCCGATTAAGATTTTAAATCAAACTCTTCCTGTGTGCTCAGCATCCCTACAGGGACGTTCCCTGCTCACCAGCCTGCTTCCAGGCAGCAGGGACAGAAAACTGCCCCTATTGCAGGGAAACTAGCAGCAGCCACCGACACCATTGATGCAGACAGCGCTAAGAGAGGGATACCGGGCTCTATCAGCTGGAAACGAGACCTAAACACACCCAGAAACGACCTGCAGCCACCCTCCCTTCCTCTTCAGGCTCTCTCCAGCACAGCCCTCAAGGCAGAAGCTCGTCCGCTTGCTAAGAGAAATCATCTGGGTTTACGTGGCCCCGCTTCACTCACCTCCGCCGCCTCTGCAGACTGGAGAGGCAAGGCAGGGTGAGCAGGATTTTATAGGGCACTTTCCCCGGCCACTGCTCCCACAGGCAGCGGAAGGGGCATTATGCAACCCACCGCAGCTTCCCCCGTTCCCGGAAAGCTGCTTGGGGTGGCAGAGGAAGGGGCCAGGTGGGCTGTATCCCCCTGCGCTGGGGTTTGCCTGCTGGAAGAAGGAATTGCCTGCGGGAAGCACATTGGGAAGAAGTGGATGGGAGAGGCTGAGGCCCCCATATTGACACTTGCTGCTATTTCGAGCACCTCAACCCCTTCTGCTGTGCTGCCAGCTGCAGCAAGGCTTGCCCGGGGCACTGCGACGACCTTGGCATCAGCTCAGCGCTGCGCAGCAGGACCCTCCAGGGCATGAGGCACCCATTCAGAGTAGCTATCATCTGTGGGGCTGGTGGTGTGGCATGGTCCTCTGGGACCTTCTGCTCCCCACCCCACCCCTGCAGCCTCGGGACCCCCCAACATCAAAGGAAGAAGGTTGCAGGCACCAGTGCTGGAAAGAGCGCTTGACCTCTGCCGGGAGTGCAGGAAACTTTGCGGGTGGCTTCGTCAGAGGGCCAGGCTGATTTTGGGAAGCACCGGATGGCATGTGATGCTGTTGCCCAACTTCGGAGAAGTGAGTGGTGGCTTTGGCCAGTTTCCGCTTACTGAGAGCCCGGGGTCACACAGGTTTGCTGTGGCTCCCCCCTGCAAAGAGTTTCTCCCATGCCATGGTTGATGGTATGGCTTTTGTCACCATGGGGAGCGAAGAAAGGCAACTGCAAGGTACCACGATTGGCACCTGGGAAGGGAGGCAGCGACGGTGGGAGAAAATGGGAGAAGCCCCAAGGGATTCTTGCCAGACCCTTTTTAAAAGGCTTTATTTTTCAAAATATACAGTTTATTTACAATTGTAGTGTCTATAGTTTTACATATAACTTTATTCCAAACCTTTAAATATCCACAGTAAATATTAGGAAAAAAAATAATCACAGGATCGGCAAAAAAAGGCATCTCGTAGCAATTCTGCTCATTGGAGTTTGAGTTTCAAGTAGCCAATGTCTACAAAAAACATGATAAATCTGGCAGAGAGATAAGGGTTAGAAAAAGGCAAAATCCAGACCTGCAGGATCCCCACTCAAAGGGCTGCAGGCCAAGAAAACCCTGTGCTGGGATCAGGCCGGGAGAAGGACCCGGTACACGGAAGCCACTCAGCACGAGTTAGGTGATGAGGTTAACCGCAGTGTGTGGGATGCCCTGGGATGGGGGTACCCTGGGAGGGGCAGGGGCTCAGGGGGCCTCCAGCAAGGTGCCAGGGCGGAGGAGGGAGGGCAGCATCAGGCACTTCATCTCTCGGGCAGCAGACCTGCCTGCGCATCTGTGGCCTGGACTGGGCAGGTGGCAAGGAAAGAGCAGGAGCCCTCCAACCTTCTCCTCCCCTTTCCCCGTATCCTCACCCCCTCATCCCCCACGGCAGTGCCACAGTTGGACCTCAGCACATGATGGGGATGCTCCGGTGAGGGGCCACCACTGTGGCACAGCCCCTGGCAAGGGGGCAGGGACCAGCCCGCCTCACCAAGGGCTGGGGAGGGATGCCACAGCCCCAGCCCAGGAGGGACGGAGCCGGCAGCCAGGAGCTGCATCAGGGCCATCAGTCCTCTTTCTCGAAGGTCTCCTCGGGGATGAGCGTCCGGAAGGGGTGATCCCAGAAGCGGGTGCTGATGCCGAAGCCTGCGGGCAGGGGAGAGAGCGCTCAGGCCATGGGAAGCTGCCAGGGGACAGGGCACAGCTTGCTTGATGTTAACCGAGCCAGTGCCACCATCGCCAAGACCAGCAGGGCTGGGAGCAGCCTGCACAAGGGCCACATGGCTGGGATGGGACATCACCCAGCTGGGTGCAAAGGTGACGAGGGCTGACAGAGATGGCAGGCCCAGGCCGTCCCTTTGTAGAGGCTGGCAGGGGAGGAGCACCTGCGTTTCAGGGAGGGAGGAAGGCAAGGCAAGGAGGAAGAGCAGAGGGAGCCGAAGGAGCTGGCTGGGCCATGCCACCAGCCCCACAGATGATAGCTTATCTGGATGGGGCGTTTTCTCCTAGGAAACCGGGCAAAGGGCAGGTTGAGCAAGTGCTGGGCTGGGGAAGGTGTGGGACGGACCCAGGGAAGCCCAGGGCCTCACCCTGCACTCGCCAACGCCTCCCGGCAGGAGGAGATACTGCTCCGGGCAGGGACGGGTACCTGCATGCCAGCACCGCAAGGGCTCTGCCTCTGCCCCAGCATCCCCAGGCGGCATTGGTGGCCGCTGGCGAGACAGGCTGTTGCCTTCGCCCCTGGGCCACACCAGCTCCCCATCCTCAACCTGGGGGCTAAGAAATGTGCCCCATGGGGCTGCAGCACCTCATACCCTGCTTCCCCAGTGAATCTTGGGTTTCCCCACCCCAAATGCCAGGTATTTCAGAGCATCAGCTGCACACACGCAGGCTTCAACAGCCCCTTCCTGTGCAGGGAACACGGCGCTACCTGATTTTTGGTGTTCAAAGTGGTGCTTGACGTGATAAGCCTTCAGGCCGTACAGGTAGGTGCCTTTTTTTGGTGAGCCGTAGTGGAGGTAATAGTGCATCATGTCGTAGATGACGTAGCCACAGAGCCCCCCGACGAACACAGAGAGCCCCAGTACCTCGGGCAGCAGGAGCCGCAGGACACCGTAGAAGAAGCCGATCACCAGCGAGGCTGGCACGGGAGGGAAGACCAGGCGGGAGCTGTCGAAGGGAGACTGGAAGCAGAGAAGGACAGTGGGACAGGCAGCTCCTAGCCCACCCCACATCCCCCAGCCCCCAGAACATCCCTGCCAAGCTTTGGGGATGCCCATTCGGGAAAAGCCAACAGCAAAGCAGTCTCCAGAAACCTTCCCCAAAAAAAGATGTACCCAGTGGTGAGAGCAGCCCCTTGCCCACACCCAGCTGGTGGCTTTGGCTGGTAGGTCCCCGAGTTCCACAGGAACATTTCCTGCAGCAAAGCTAGAGGGAGCCCATGGCTTTTTTTGGTTCTTCCCCCTTGCCCAACTGGAGCTTGCAGATTTAACTCCAGCTCCTCTGAGCCAGTCTTGCAGCCCTCGTCGCTATTAAGTAAGGGCCCTGCTTGGGGCAAAGATGCCACGAGTCACGTCGAACACGCACAAACAGGCTCCGCCTGAGCAAAGGCCACCGTTCCCACGGCCTGGCGGGCGTCGGCGGAGGCATAAGCTGCGACTCACCTTGTGATGCTGCCCATGCAGCAAGAAATGCAGGGTGATGAGATAGTAGTTACTAGCGGGTGGCTTCATGTGGAAGACAAAGCGATGGATGAGGTACTCTAGCAGGGACCACAGGAACATCCCCAGGAGGAAGATGAAGGGGAAGTAGTATTTGTGGACGGGGATGGAGTACTCTACACAACAAGATGTGCAGTGGTCAGCAGGGCAGGCGGCGTGTGGGTGCTCTTATCCATCGGCATCCGGGTGAAGCTCAGCTCTCCCTCCCTCACACCTCTCAGCCACCTCCTGCTCCGAGCTTCCCCTGGGAGCCACCTTCCCAAACACTGCCCTAAACCACATTTTCCTTTGATTCCCATTAATTTACACTCTATGGAAACAGTCATCTTCTCGCTGCCACAAGGAGCCAGCAAGGGGGGGTCCCCTGATCCCAGATGCCAATGGGGGCTTGGATGTGCACTCCAGGGAGAGCCCTGTCCTTACAAAGCTGCTTTGGCCACCACAACAAGGCAGGAGGGACCTTATCTGCACAGGCAGCACTGGTGACAGTTAAACAGTGTTGCTAGAGTTGGATTTATTTTTTTATTTTGGGGGAAAAACAATAGATTTGTTGGGCACCTTCCCCCGCAGAGCATTTTTTCAGCCACCTCCTCCTTTCGGGGCTGGCTGCTGGCCCTGCGTCCTTGCTAGTAGAATTCGGATCCCCCCAAACCTGTTCATTTTGGACAGGGGGAAAATAAAAAAATAAAAATAACCCCTTGGCAGCAAGGTGACAAATGCTGCAAGGAGCCAGGGGGAAGCCAGTGCA